TTGCACATTAGTTGCAAACAGTGATTATGACATCGGCAGAACGTGGTTCAAGAAAGCAAAACTACTGGTCAATTAGGTGACTATGGATATTATTGCTATTCGTACAATTCTCAAGAGATTTGACAAGTGCATGATTCGGTTAGTGGTAGATGCAAGCTGAGCACACTAAATGGTTATTCTGCTACTGATCGATGGTTAATAATTATTCAGCAGCACCGGGTGTGAATATTCCTTGAAGACAGCAGCTCTGCAGCTGGGTGGAACAATTGGTGTACCGGGCAAGCTCACGTATACCAGTATATTTTTGAACACGAAGCCGTGTTAAACATCAATAAGTGAAGGATGGAAGGATTTTTTAAAGATCGTTTAGCGGAAAGCACCTGCTTAATAGGCATGTCCGAGATATCAATCTTGTTGGTGGCAGCGTCCTAGGAGTTCCTCATAACAGCGCAAAGATTTTCAGATAGTATCAACGGCATCCAGGCAGGAGTTTTTGACATGCTCTTGACACTTGATGAAGTGGGGCTCATGATGGGGCTGATGTGATACATGCCAAATGACAAAGGAGAAAATTGAAAGTGCCGATTATTGGTCTCTCAAAACACGGTGGATAATAACATGCTACTGATAAACAAGACATTTGGATTTGATACTGCAGTGGAGGCAGTATAAAAGAGTTATCAATTCTGCATATATTGAGGAACATTCTGAATTTCAAGGCATCAGATAAGTGGAGCTGATGGGAAGAAGCAGTAGATTTCTCACAATGCATGCTCCCCTGTTAAATAAACAAGTTGATATTTGCTTAGTACCTGAGCATTGCTAGGTTACCCGCGGGCAGTATATAAGGATCATCAGTCGTCCGCACAAATCAGGTGATATCCGTCTAAATCAATTTTATTAGCATAATATTATTTTCGTCAAAGAAACAATTACTCTGGCCTATATCTTTTTATACAGGACAAGTGCTCACTATAAAAGTGATGCCCTACTGCGGATGGTGCGCGCTAGCTGTTTTACACCGGCATCTGTGTATCACACTGATGAACCGGAACACAAACCGCCACCCCTGCAGTCCGGACAACATCAACAATGCCGCGGCCGACCCTCTTGTCTGTGCTGGCTTATAACCCCGCGGTGGATATTAACTGGCCTGACATATCAGGTGAAGTCCATCCATTATATTTTTATATTAGATATCGCTTTCTTTAAAAAGAGCAATTACCCGGCTTGCAAAATTATCTAATGCAGGACCCTAAACCGCCATATTAGTGCAAAATTTAAAAGGCCATCAGAAAATTTCCGGCTCACAGTGGTGCTTCCGGTTTATAATCCGGTTTAAGAGGAAACTATCTCTTGCAAAGCTCTGACGCTCTCAATATCTGGTTTAATGTCCGGTTCAAGAAGGATTTATCTCTTGCAATAAGTTAAAAAGGTGCCAAAGAGAACCTGCTGCCATGATGCGCGGTTCAAACATGGGTATCCTGCTTTATTGGCCTAACATATTATTGATCACATGGGGGCTTCTGCTTCATAAAGCGGGGTCTCTGTCTTTCTCATCATGCGAGGTTACACGGAGTGGTTCTGTTTAAAGCGGCCTCCGGTTTACCCCTTGACATTTGTTTTTTATATATCACTGGGGGCCTTGGTCGTGTCCGAACCAACGAACACCCTTTGATAGGCGACAACCACCAGATCATTTGGGGACATGGTCAAGTCTGAACCAGTCACGCCTCTTGGTCGGCCTAAGGCCACAAAATCACTTGGGGGCATGGTCGAACCCGAACCATTGCCACGCCTCTTGATCTGGCATATATGCCACGAATCATTTGGGGACCTGGCTGACTTGAATCATTGTCACTCCTATTGGGGGCCTTGATCCTGTCCGACCATGGTAATACCATCTGATCAGCTCAGTATAGCATATTTTTGCAAACGGTTTTTATCATTGCCTTTGCTTCCATATTTTTTTTCATAACTGTTATTTGATTTTTGTTGCGTTTTTTAAACCGACAATGTTTTAATCCGGTTCAACTATCAATTACAAATTGACGGAACACGGTCAAGTCCTAATCCGGGGGCCATCTGCCCGGTTTGATTTTCTATTATCATCCTATTATGGAGTAAACCGGCGTTCATTAACCCGGCTTGACTTTCAATTACAAATTGTCAGTACATGACCAATTATAATCCGGCGATTATTAATCCGGTCTGGTTCGACTACATGTCGCCAGTATTATATATGGATAATCCGGTGTCTATCATAACCCGGTGCGGTTTTATCATAAACCGACACAATATGGAAGGAGTTATCAGTACTCAAGATTGGGATTATCACCCTTACTACAGAAAGTTGGTAAACCAGCGAGGTGATTCAATGTCACAGGTATGATATATTTCATATTTGATTGTTCTTAAGTGCAGCCTTGGTTATAAACCTGGGTTATATGTTGGGCATTATGACCCGTCCGGCGGTAAACCGCCAGGACACTTTAAACTTGTTGTATGCAGAGACAGGTTGAATAAAGCATGATGAGAAATTATCCGGAGTTTATTAAACCGGCCTGGCTTTGGACTATACGTCGCCAGTATATATTTGGATTGCGCCATTGGAATCATGCGCTTATAAATCATTGGGTATATTATTCAAATAGCCAAACATGGCTGGATTTCTATTATGGTTATCAATGACCAGTATTATGATCAAGGTTTTCAAAGTCGCTTTAGCGCAATGGCTATCATATTATCAATGGATATGGTTTATTCTACAATTGAAGGAATAGTCCCGAGTTGCTGCAGGCTTACAATCCGGCACTTGGGAGCTACATTAGTTAAATTGAGATTACATCAAATATGCAAGTCTCATGTCGCTGCAAGCATGCACCATGACACTTGGGGGCTAATGCAAAGTAATTTTCTGCTCATATTATTGAAGACCCGACTCATCACATTATAATGAGTCGGCCCTTGGGGGCTACCAATTGCTCCTGTCAACAGTTGAAGGTACAAAGCTTTTTATTCATTATATTGAAGAGTCCACTGCTCAGTTGATAAAGCACAAGGCTCTTAACCTTGTGGACGTGGATTCAAGTCCCATGATGAGGGTTACATCATATGATGTTATTTTCATTGAAGTATATATTAAAGTCCCAGCTCAATATTATCTTACTGAGCCGGCCCTTGGGGGCTACACATCATTGCTCAAATCTACATGATTATATTTACAAAGTCCCTGCTCATTATTGCATAAATGACCCGGCCCTTGAGGGCTACACTGGTTGAAGTTTTATGAGTATAAGACAATTACAAGTCCCAGGTTGCTGCAAGCATGACAACCCGGCACTTGGGGGCTACATAGTATGGAGTATTCAGTTTTTACTAGTCACTGGGATGAACAACATGGATTTCTTTGAAAGTGGTAATATTTATACCGAAGCAAAGTCTTAAGCCACCACTTTGTTCTGCTCAAAGACTTGGGGGCTACAGGTATTATATTATTATCGAAGAAATATTTTCAAATTCTCTGATTGAGCAAACTAGGTTGACCCGGCGTCATCAATCATTATGACCCTGTGGCTGCAACCCGGCGTCATTAACAATCATGAACCGGTGTCTGCAACAATCATGACTCGGAATTATCAGTTTATAACCCGACAATGGTGGTAATCATAAACCGGCAAATTTTACATCTTCAAGCCGGCTGGATATCAGTTGAATATTTCAGAGACTAATATTTTTTGTCAAGTCAGAGCATTGAAGGCCAATTCAAATGGATTCTTTATTCTACAAGCAAATCAATTATGAAACTAGTCTATTGACTCGGATTTTCTAGAAGAAGGAAATGACAAGGACTTCAGAATGATCAGATGCCGGTTTACAAGAATTCTTAACCCGGAGCATAATCTGTCAAATTTGTTCTTGTATTTGTTTTACAGGATCAGTTTAACATGAATAAATCCAAATTAAAATGGGGGCTAATGTTGGGGATATACCCCGCGGCGTAAACCGGCCGGAAGTATAACCCGGCCGGACTTGGCGGTTTATCTGAAGAACCCGCTGAGTCTTGACGGTTCACCGGCGACCCGTTTGGACCTGGCGGTTCACGACTCATTGGTAACCCGGTAGGCGGGTCAGAGGAGCGACAAGACCCGGTGGCCCAACGGGCGGTTTATGGAAGGCCGGATCATGCTATGGTGGGCCGGTTTAAGAGAAAAGGTGTGAGGAATATTTACTTTACAAGGAAGACCCGGACTTGTATCCGGTTTGTATTAGAAGGGAGACTAGTCCTAATCCTAATAGGACTCCACATGTAACCCGCCCCTTCAACATATATAAGGAGGGGCAGGGCTCCCCAAAGAGGGACAAGCTACAAGCAAGAAGAAACAATCTTAGGGCTAGACACAAAGAGGAGAGCCGGTTTACAGCGACTCCCTCGTGATGATAATGAGACCTAGCCTCAAACAGCATGTAGGGTTTTTACCGGATGATGTTTCCCGGGGCCCGAAGCTGTCTAAATTCTCGTCTTGTGTGTTGATCCGCCCTGCGTCTCTCATCCCACTCAACCCCTCTCAAGCTACCACATAGATGCGTTGGCCTCGCGACTAAGTCCTGACACTAAGAACATCTGCCGTGACAAATCCACGACAAGTATCTTACATATACATGCAGGAGACAATCTCTCACTCACTGACGTGTTGCGCAGGTCAGACGTACAAGCATGCCTTGATTGCATTTCCTATGGATCTATCGAGGGTCAGACCATGCACAGCCGGCAGGCCGCAGCCATGCATGCGCCGACACAGGAGGGCCATGCACCGAGGACCGGGCCGGGCGACACCGACCCGACACGTTGGCATGCATGCATCCTCATCGTACGGTACAGGTGCATGCATGAATACGTTACGTACATATGGCCGGAGCCGGAGCTGGTCCTGGTCCAGGCCGACCGGCGAGGTGACGTCCGGTCTCCATCACAGCTCCTGCGACATTCATTCGTTCATTCATCGGCCTTCGCATTCACTGTCCGATCCTCCTCCGGCAGCAGCCTCCTCGTCGTGGTGGACGACGCGGACACGAGCAGCAGCAGCAGAAGGATGCATAGGTATGGCGCCTCCTCGGAGGTCGTGCAGGGACGGAGTTGGCGGCAGCTTGGCCTGCTGGAGCATGTGGACGACCTCCCGCATGGTGGGGCGCTCCACGCTCTGCTCCTGCACGCACAACATCCCCACGAACAGCGCCTGCGCCGCCTCCCACGCCGGCACGTCGCCGCCCAGCCGCGGGTCCAGCACCGCCTCCACTCCGCCACCTTGGTCGACCCGGGCGCGCACCCACTGCACCAGGTCCAGGCTGCCGTCCTCGCCCAGGTGCGGGCCCACCGGCCGGTGCCCCGTGATGAGCTCCAGCAAGACCACGCCGAAGCTGTACACGTCGCTCTTCTCGTCCACCTTGAGCGTGTAGGCGTACTCTGCAAATGCCATGCCATACGAGTTGCATTGTCAGTCTCAGTGTCAGTGTACATGCACAGTAGAGTGGTATATTCGTATCGACAAAGGAAGATCACGGAGGAAGGACAAAAACTAGATGATGGAGAGCTGGACTCGTAGGTACCATGGATACATGTGCATTCTCTTCTCTCTGGATCTCTCTAGGATTGTTTCGATCCTCGAAAGCAATTGAACAACGGAAAGCTCGGTCGTCGATTCGATATAAAGGAAAGCAAAGGGAGGGCCGGTCATGCCACGTACTTTACTTTACTACTGTTACTAGGTTCGATCAGTCTTTGCAGTACAAAGCAGAGCAAAAGTGCTACTCCTACTACGTAGTGTAAGTAGCAGGAGCACGTAGTCCTAGCTAAAGCCTAACTAAAGTCTAAAGTAAACTACGCATGACAGAAAAAAGAGTAAAGCAGCTAGACCCGGCCGGATGATCGATGCCGGAGCTGGCTGGTAATTTCCTAGTAGCTGCTGTAGATAGAGAGATACTAGAGAGAGATATGCATGCATGCATGTCATTGTCAGATGAGGATCGATCCGCATGCATGATGCCTGCGTTCCGACCATGCATAAGTAGACGCGATATAAACTTTGTAAAGTAGTAATGCACATGCACGTGTTTGTTGTACTCGCCTCGCTCGCTAATAAGTCTAGAGTATTCTACTGGCAAGCATGCATGTGGGTTGTGATGCAGGAGCTCTTCGTTTGAGGCAGCAAGGGGTACGTCTAGTCATCATCAGATCTTTCTTTCCTTGTCTCTTTCTTTCTTCCTTTCTTTCATCACTCGCTCTCCAACATTCATCCACGGTCCATCCATCCATGGTCCATGGTCCATGAAGCGATGCATCAAAAGAATTTCGACCAACTCAACAGAGCCGAGTCACAGTAGACAGAGAAAGAAACAAAGACTCGGCAGCATCTATCTATGAATCTATCTATGTGACCGTCACGTCACCAGCTTGTGTTGCATGCCTTCCCCTCAAAAAAAAAAAAAGCTTGTGTTGCATGCATGCCCAACGGACTCGACCAACATAGTAAGTACATTGGACGCAGCAGCACCCATGGACACGACGCGTACCGAACGTAGGACTAGACTACAGTAGAATCGAGGCACCTTCACCATGCAAATTTGATCGACAAGTGAGCATTCAAATTCAAACAGTGGAAAGTTCAAAAAATAATAATTCAAAAAGTGGTAGCAGTAGAACGTGTGGCACGTACCTGGCGCGATGTAGCCGTAGGATCCGGCGATGGCGGACATGCACTCGGACGCGGCGCCATGCCCATGCCGGAGGTACTTGGCCAGCCCGAAGTCCGCCACGTGGGCCTCCATCCCTTCATCCAGCAGGATGTTGTTGGACTTGACGTCCCGGTGCAGGATCGCCGGCGAGCAGTCGTGGTGCAGGTAGCACAGCCCCATCGCCGCCTCCGTCGCCACCCGCAGCCGCGTCGCCCACGCCATCACGTTCCCGTCGCCACCTTCCCCATGCAGCACGTCCCCCAGGCTCCCCTCAGCCATGTACTCGTACACCAGCAGGTTGCTCCTCCCGTCGCCCGACGAGCAGATGGCCAGCAGCCGCACGATGTGCCGGTGCCGGATCCGCCCCAGCGTCCGCACCTCCGCCGAGAACCCGCCGTCGTCCCCGGGCCCACCAGCCGCCGCGATGCGCTTCACCGCCACCGCCTCCCCGCCGGGCATCGTGCCGCGGTACACCGTGCCGGCCCCGCCCCGCCCCACCACCTGGTTCTCCTTCACGCACTGCACCACGTCCGACCACCCGAACGACACCTTCTGCTGGAACGCCGTCATCCGCCACCCGCCGCTGCCCCGCTGCCGCCGCCTCCGCTGCATCGCCGACCGTGTCGTCGCCACCGCCGCTGCTGCGAACGCCACCGAGCACGCCAGCAGCCCCAGCGCCGCCGCCAGCTTCAGCCGCCCCACCGACGACGTCGACGCGGGCTGCTTGTCGCCGCCGCCGTCCGGCCAGACCCGCGGCCCGGACATGGACGTCAGGTTGCACGGGTTGGACGACGCGATCGTCGTCCCGCACAGCCGCGGGTTGCCGGCGAACGACGTCGCGTTCAAGTAGGCGAACTGCCCGCTCTGCGGCACCACGCCCGACAGGTCGTTGTGGGACAAGTCGGCCGCGGTCAGGCTCTTCATCCCGCCCATCTCCGCCGGGACGCCGCCGTCCAGCTTGTTCCACGACACGTTCAGGTAGTTGAGCACCTTGATCTCCGCCAGCCGCGCCCCCGGGATCGCGCCCGTCAGCTGGTTCACGCTCAGGTCCAGGAACGTCAGCGACGTGCACTCGCCGATCTCGCCGGGCACCTCGCCGGTCAGGTTGTTGCCGCTCAGGTCCAGCTTCAGCAGCCGCTTCAGCCGACCGACCTCCGGCGGGATCCCGCCGGCGAGCTGGTTGCCGCTGAGGAGAAGCGTCTGCAGCGACGAGAAGCTGCCGATGGACGACGGCAGCGAGCCGTTGAACCTGTTGCTCGACAGGTTCAGCAGCGACAGCATCTTCCTCTCCTTGGCCGGGATGCCGTCGTCCTCTGGAAGATGGCCGGTGAGGTAGTTGCTCTGCAGCTCGACTGTGGTGAGCGCCGGCAGGTAGAGGAAGCCGCGCGGGAGCTCGCCGGTGAGGTAGTTGTTGCTGATGCGCACCCGCGTGAGCGTCGGGCAGTCGCCGAGCCCCTCCGGCACCGGGCCGAAGAGGAAGTTGTTGAGGAGGATGAGGATCTGGAGCTGGCCGCGCGCGCACAGCCACCGCGGCACCTCCCCGGTCAGCCGGTTCGTCGACAGGTCCACCTCCTGGAGCGGCGCCGCGCGGCCGAGCGCCGCCGGGATGGAGCCCGTGAAGTTGTTCTGCCACAGCTTGAGCACCTGGAGGTGCTCCAGGTCGCCGAGGAACTCCGGGACGCCGCCGCGGAAACGGTTGATGAACATGTTGACGAGCCTGAGCTCCCGGAGCGCGGCGAGCTGCGGCGGGACCTCGCCCGTGAGCGCGTTGTTGGAGACGTCGAGGAAGCGGAGGGCGGTGAGGTTGCCGAGCTCCGGCGGGATGGTGCCGTTGAGCTGGTTGGTCTGGAGGTAGAGCGTGTCGAGCCTGGTGAGCGCGCCGAGCGACGGCGGGATGGCGCCCTGCAGGCCGCAGCTGGCGAGGTCGAGGTGGACGAGGCTGGATAGCCGGCCGAGCTCGGCGGGGATGCCGCCGTCGAACTGGTTGAAGTAGCCGAGGAAGAGCTGGCGGAGCGCGGTGAGGTTGCCGAGCTCGGGAGGGATGGCGCCGGTGAGGCTGTTGCCGGCTACAGAGAGGAACTGGACGGCCTCCAGCGATCCGAAGCTGCGCGGGATGGTGGCGGAGAAGAAGTTGCCGCCGAGGTCGAGGTGCACGAGCGCCCTGGCCGGCAGCTTACTGGCGTCCGGGAGCGGGCCGGCGAGGTCGTTGTCGTAGAGGTCGAGCACCTGGAGCGCGGGCATCGCGGAGAGGTCGAGGCGCTGCAGGGTGCCGTTGAACTGGTTGTTGGAGAGGTTGAGATGGCGGAGGTCCGTTAGCGCGGCGAGGGCGGGGGGCAGGTCGCCGGCGAGCGCGTTGTTGGAGAGGGAGAGGAAGCGGAGGCCGGTGAGGTTGGCGACGGCCGGGGAGAGCGCGCCGGAGAGGTTGTGCGCGGAGAGGTCGAGCGAGACGACGGTGGTGCCGCGGGCGTCGCAGGCGACGGCCGGCCAGGAGCGGCACAGGGCGGCGTGGTTGGCGAGCGTCCAGGAGGCGTGCAGCGCCGGCGGCGAGGAGGTGAAGGAGCCCTTGATGGCGACCAGGGCGGCGGCCTGCTGCTGCGTCCAGTCGGAGTCGGGGTCGGGGTCGGGGTTGGGGGTGGAGGCCGTGGCGACGGCGAGGTGATCGAGGCGGCAGAGCAAGACAAGCACTAGTGGCAGCAGTGGGAGGACGGATGCCGCCATGCGATGGATGGATGGATGGATGGAATGATGGTTGCTCTGCCGCTCCGCTCTGCTCTGCTCTTGGGAGGGAGCGGGAGGTTGTGTGCGTAATGATGAAGACGACTGGGTGGCAGCTCAGGCCTCCATGGATGGATGCTTTTGCTTTCCCTGTGGCTGTGGAAATGGCAATGGCGATGGGGTTTGGGCTTTGGGCTTTCATGCAGTGCAACGTTGCTTTCTCTTCTTTTGGAGGCGAAAGCAAAAGCAACCGAAAGCCATCGAGTGCTCTGTCTCTGTCCTCAGTCCCTCACTCTCTGCTCTGGGAATGTTTCAGCTCAGTCTTGGTCAGCAGCACTGGATTTCGTGCTACAAGAATTAGTTAGTTAGTTGCTCAAAAATCAACAACGAATTTTCTTTTTCAGCCTTTGCTAAGTCTTGGTAGACTTAACTGTTAAATCTAAGCCGATACTATATCCGTAAGATCTTATGTTGAGATCCGTGTAAAAATTTTTTTTCTCTCTACCATGTTATGTCATTTGATTGAGACTTGGTTAAATCTCAGTCGACTTTGACCTAGCCATACCTTTTCTTTTTTTTGACAAAAGATGGATGTGCTTTTTACGAGTGTTTTCTACTCCTTCTTTCTTTATAAAAATATATAATTTCTTTTGTAAACATGGTTGAAACACATATACTTTGGCAAGCGATTAGTCACGTCAACATGGTCCTTGGATGAAATTCCAGCGCCCCGAAAAATTGGCACAACTTTAAGGAGCAAAAAAGCTAACAAATGTGGGATATGTGATCCCTTTTTCTCACCAGATCTTACATCTTTTCTAGGGAATGCTTACGACTTTTCTAAAAAGTAGTTCATTATTTTCCCTCTAATTTTTATTTAACGAATACTCTCCATATCTTATATACCTGAATCGTGGCGGAGCTATGCGCAAACAAAACTGTGCTAGCAATGAAAACATGGGGTTCACTTTTTTCTTTCCTTCGAAGAAAGAAAGTGCAACTCGCCACCGCTGCCCTTCGGCGGCGACCTCGGTCGTCGATACTGAGGGGGGTCGTCGGATCCACGCATGTGGATCGTTTTTAGACTCTTGTAGTTTAGGTTTATAGGTTGCATCATCGTGGCTTCGGCGGCGGTAATGGCTGCGCTGAATAAAGATTCTCCAGATTCTACTCCGATGAGGCGACCGGTCCTATGGCCAGGCATAGATTTGGAAATCAGTCTGTTCAAACAATGTTGGCGTGACGGTGGCATGCTCATGGTGGACCTATGTACTCGAGCTTCGCCATTGCGACGATGTTTGCTCCAACGCCGACGCGGAGCTTGGGAGGTAGTCCGGGAGCGGATGCAAATTGTGCTCTGCATCGGCGGCAACTAGAATATGGTGGATTGTGTGCTGCGTTCATGGTTCATGGATGGCAGGTAAGGCTTTCTCCTTTGACGTCTTAGTTGTGTGGGGGTGGCAGATCTGGAGTTCGATGATGTGTCCGGGGTGTTGCTCGAGTATGATTCTTCAACAGTAATGGTTTAGTCTTTGACGAGCCACCTTGGAGGTCCGTAAAGCTGCATATCAGCGATGGAGCTGCGTCGAGCTCAGGTGTTAAGGTGATATGTCATTTTTTTTCTTTGGTGGCTGTTGTGGTGGTGCGAGAGATAGGTGATGGGCATCAGTGTCAAGCTCAGAGGATTTTTCAGTATTATTTGTAATTTTACTTCTTGGCTGGTCTTTCTTTATGCGAAGGTTAGCATTTTGCTATCTTTTCAGTTTTGCCAGATCGTCTGTATGTAAATTGTACTATGATCCTTATGATATAAATAAGGCATATATTACCATGCAAAAGAAAAATGACATGTCCAGGCCATGACAAAAACACTAGGAATGACGGTAAATTTAGCCCAAGAAGGTAACATTTTCGGCCTCCACTAGCTTAGCCAATCTAGTCCGCGCGCCCAACTTGTTGTCCGTAGCTCCATCGTGTTTCTAAATAGTTCATCATCACTAACTCAATTATATTAAGTTATTAACATGCACTTATGCCAAGTCACCATGCCACCAGGCGTGCCCCATTAATTTCAAATTCACCCAACACCCAACTATGACAACTCACCATGCAATCATGCACGGAAAAAATCCACCTTAAGATGCACCATGCATGCTACTCATATTCAATAAAATATTCTTCAACTACATAATAGTCAAGTATAATAAATTATATGTATTTTAGTTTTTGTTCCCATATTGCTAATCCAAATACTAAAGTTTCATGCTACTAAAACTTACTCCCTCCAGTCCTTTTTACTCTGCATATAAGAATTATCTGAAGTCAAACTTCGTAAAGTTTGACCATATTTATATTAAAAAATATCAACATCTACAATGTTAAAGTTATACAATATAAAAATTTAAGTCACGGCGCATCTAATGATAATGATTTCACATTGTGAATGTTTCTAATTTTTTCTATAAAATTGGTCAAACTTCACGAGGTTTGACTTGAGAGAAATTTTATATGCGAACTAAAAAGGACCGGAGGGAGTACAGAAATAACTACGTCCAATTACCGCCACAACGCACGGGTTATCTCTAGTATACCAGTAATGCTACACCTACGGATTTCTTATAATGGATTTGTGATTACCATGTGGTATGGTGTAAGTTGGTTCGTTGTCATCGGAGCAAACAATTAATTTTCAAGTCCGCAGTATTGAGTCCATAAGGTTTTGCGCATAGTTTTAGCAGTTCTGCCATTGATACACACAAAAGCAAATCTAAACTCGGTCCTAAGGGCATCTACAATGCATACGCTTAAAACGGGCGCTAGGATTCCATTCCTGGTACTACCTCCATCTCGGTGAATAAGTCATTTACGTAGTTTCTATAATAATATGTTATATATCATGAAAACTATATCACTAGATTTCTATAATGATTTAGTTTCTAAATACATATTTTTTATCACATATAATACATATTTAGATAGTTAAATCGTCAATCTAGAACTACGCAAATGACTTATTCACCTAGACGAAGGAGGTAGTAGTTTCGTTTCGATCCTGCCCGACCCCAGGATTTAGGCTGGCATGGATGCCAATCGAGTCGTCGAGCGCTTCGGTGCTTCTTTTTTCACGAGCCTTTTGTTTTTGGCAGCGGGCGCTAGCAGATGCCCAACAAATCCCATGAACTCAACGAATTTAGCTGATTTTTAGCGTCGCGATTGGGTTGGCTGCCTTGGACAGAACGATTCCTTGTCACTCCGCCTTGACTGCTCTAGTTTCGCCAGATCCCTTCTTCCCTGATTCTTCTCCACGAAAAATCCCCATTTTTAGGTTCAGAAACTCCTGGAAGCCTGAGGTCCAAATCAGATACGCAAGTCATTTTCTCTACCGCTTTACCGCCGCCGGCGGCGATCTTGCCTCGCTACCATCAAATCGACACCACATTCTTCATCCTCTGCTGCATCATACTCCATCTACCATCACTTTCAGTTCTGGTCAGGGCTACTCATCCCCATTTTGTGGATCTGTTGCGACAGCCAAGAAGTCGCCCTTTACCTTCCTACTCCTTGCCGCCCCAAGTCCCTCTCGCCAACCTTATCCTGCAGGGCTTCGCTCCCCTGCTGGGATCATCGGAGGTCCTCCCGGTTTGTCTCCTGTGGTATACTCCTCATATCAAGTTGGTGCCAACAATCTGGTGATAGGAGGGCGAGATTAGCAATATGGAACGGCACCTCCTTCAGACTATGGCAGGTTTTGTGATTTTGTGTTGGAATTGCCGAGGATTGGGGACAGATTCCACAGTTGGCGAGCTGCGCTGGTTGGTGCAGAGCTATCGCCCATCTCTCCTTTTCTTGTGTGAGACAAAGATGGCAGATAAAAGGGTGAGAAACTTCATGTGGTCACTGGGATTTTCAAATTCTTATGCAGTAAGTAGTGAGGGCCAAAGTGGAGGCTTACGTTTGTTTTGGCTATCATCAGTCGATGTTTCTTTGAAGGCGTTTAACAATAGATGCATAGACGTTCATGTCAAGCCTGATCAAGGACCAGTCTGGAGGGCGACTTTTGTGTATGGAGAACCAAGAAGAGAAAATAGATGCCAATTTTGGGATTTTATCCGTTTTATGCGAGCGCAGTGGGATGGTCCATGGATCTGCTGTGGGGATTTCAACGAGGTGTTAAGCCACGACGAACATCAAGGCCTTCGAGATAGAACAGATAGGCAAATCAATGACTTCCAACAGTGCTTAGCTGATTGTGGCCTCATCGACTTGGGTTATTCCGGTCCTAAATATACTTGGTCTAATCGCCAGGACTCTCACCGCCATGTCAAAGCCCGACTAGACAGAGCTGTAGCTAACATTGAGTTCTCTAATATTTTTGAGGACTTTTTGGTTGAGAATGTCATCACTACTACCTCGGATCACCATGCTGTCCATATTGCTCTTAATAAGGGGAAGATTCCTTATGACAGGGGAAAGACTTCTAATGATCATTGTCCTGTGCAGCAAGGTTTCAAATTCGAAGCTATGTGGCTGAGAGCTCCTGACTACCGGGAGGTCTTAGAGAAGGCTTGGGCAGAAGGTAGGGGTAATCTGCCTTTATCACTGCAATCAACCTGGTCCAATCTGAATCGAGTGGCAGCTTCCCTTAAACAATGGGATAGAGAATCTTTTGGCTCTGTGAGATCCAATATCCGGAAGTTGGAAAGGCGTCTTAAATGTCTAAGGTCGACCCCTGTCTCTGATGCATCGATTATGGAGGAACGCTCATTGGAGAGACAATTAGGTGAACTTTTTGAGCGAGAAGAAATCATGGCTAGGCAACGTTCTCGGGTGGACTGGCTCCAGGAAGGTGACCGGAATACTGCATTTTTTCATGCTCGGGCATCGGCACGTCGACGTATGAATAGAATTAATTCTCTCACTCATACTGATGGTTCAATTACTGAAGACCAGGAGGAGATAAAAGGTATGGTGCACAGTTTTTATGATAATCTTTTTACTACTGA